TGACAAATATATAAAAACTGGAAAGATTGATGAGCGAGATATAGTAACCGAAATAAATATGCACAATGGCATTGTGATGAAGAACTTTGAGAACAATGTATTATATACGCACGGTGTTTTGTTTTTGTTTTTGTTTTTGTAACGTGAAAAGTGTTGGTTCATTTTTTATTGGGTGTCTGTAATACTTTATCGATTTAGAACACATTAATTAAAAGTTATATCCTAATTTCATACTCCATTGAACCCAGGGTACTTTCGCCACTAACATCACATAAATTAAATATGGCAAATATTTTCGATGAACATTACAAAATACCACGTACTTTAAAAATGTGCAATTAAGAAGAGAAAACTATACAAACTGCGTTCTCGTTTATTCAGGGTGGTTATTTTTCTTAACGCAGTTCATCAAGCAGTTTAAAATGGTTATAGACACTTCTCATGGCAAACGCCACCAGGCGGTGCTCCAGTCTTTGACGTCCCAGAGCATTTCCGGTTTATAACAAGAATGAACAAAGCCCACCCTAAATCCGCCGCTTGAAATCTCAATGAAGATTTTAAAGGGGCGGTGCAACGATATTCATTTGGAATGTTTTTCATTTTACACGAGCTTACTGGCATTAGTGGGACTCAAGGATATTCGCACGCAACGCCACTGGCCGAGAAACTCCTTGGTTGCGGTGTAATATCAAGGACCAAGGCGAGCGTTTTCATTGAATCTCTCCTTCACAAAACTTGATGACGTAGCTCGGCGGTCGGAGTACCGCCGAGTGACGATATTTGAATGCGGCTCATAGATTGGATCCGAGCACTGCGTGAACACTCGACTTGGGCTCGTGATAATCGATAGCTCGAGAAGCATTCGGGTAGTGGCCCGTGTCCAATTGCTGCAGAGACGACAACAGCCGAACCATAACAATGTCTGGAACTGAGCGCGTGTCCTGTGCCTTGCCAACCCCAGCGCGTGGCCATGATCACCATTGGCGGCATATAATCGGCTCCAGATCACTTGGCCGCTCGTTCTGGCTGCGAGTTGAGAAGGTGAACGCTGCTCGTTTTTCTTTAATTTTTTCTGCGACTTGGATTGCGTGTGGTGAAATACGAACGGGTGTTTCACAGGTCATTAACGCCAGGAATCCGTTATAAGCGGTATTCGCGCAAAGTACAAGAATTGCTGCATCGCCCCTTTAAGCACCGATTGCCAGGTGAATGCCAAAAGGACGATGAAGCGCGAGATATTTTACATTTGAGAATATCCTTGTAATCCAAATGGACCCTTTTTCAGAAAGCTTCTGCGCATGCGTACACTCCCGCTGTCGCCATTTTTGAAGGACACCGGGACGCGGTGCATTGCGAAAATGGCGACAGCAACATTGTTAGCATCCATCTTTCCGCGTATTTAGTCTATTTTGACGCTTTGCTTTTTAGCATCAGTACTATGGGGTATAAAAAGCCTGCAGAAAACCGATACAACGGCACGATGCCAATGTGTTTTGGCGGGCGGAGGCATGTCGGGCTGCTCCTCAATTGTAGTTCCCAGACAGCTCCCCAGGCGGCACTCGTTACTCGAAAAAGGTGTATTGCCTTCTCCAAGACCTTAAATTGTCCCGCCGAGGGCGCTCGCTCAATCTCCAGCTTCGATGTACGTGTAGGATTTACGCTTTCTAGCACTGGTCACATACCCAAGCTCGACACGCTTGAAAAGACGGAGCGGCCGGAAGCCGCTGGGGACGCAGGAGGCAGTTCACGTTTGTAAGCAGCAAAAGGGTCTATCCAGTCACTAAGATGTGCTGGATTTCAAATAAAAAAAATATTTTGTTTTGTCGTCAGCCAACTAGACAACTCGCTGGAATTAACGGAGCTCCCACGGTCTCAAAGTGACTTGCAAGTTGCAACACATCGAACTAAATAGCGACTGCTTCGACGCAGTTTTGTCGCACCTTTGACCACACCCTATTAACTTTTTAATCACTCTGCCTTGTGCGGCGAGACTCCGTCCCTTTTTCATATTTCCCATCCTTCGCGTGCAGAGGGACGCGTTTTTGTCGACTTGGTAGAGGCATCTTTAGTAAGTTGGAAGGAAAATATTAGTGACATAGAACTTCTAAGAAGTTCTATGTCACTAGCAATTATGTTATGACATGCTGGTGCTACCGGTTAAGTGTAATGATGTCCTGATGTAAAACAATGCTGCGTCTAAATCATTCCTCCCGAGGGAAATGCTGTGAATACCGTACATATGTTAGGGCGACAAGGTCCCTTCATCATGCATTTTGCTCATCATAATACTAAGTCGTGAATCTAAGTTGTTGCAGGGCGTTCAATAAAGAAAAAAACTGTTTTCTTTCCGCATAGACAGGGATCAATTCTAAAAAAAAGTATATACAGAGCATTTTTTTAGCGAGACAATGTATGCCTGAAATTTAAAAAAAATAAAAATAAAAAACTACTTTAGAATGTAGAAGCAAAATTTTCAGCGCCTTTTATAATGTTGTCAGATTATAACATTTCGGACTCTGTAGTGAATGAACATATTATAAGAACATTGTGTGGTACAACATAAGCTCTACTCGCCCATTAAACTTCCTGGTTATTTCTCCATCCTTAAATAAAAAAATAAAAAAAAAAAACTAAATCCGTACGCTTAAAATATTATATCTTTGATGATCCTCTAAAAGTGCAATGCAAAGGAATTTAAGTTTTCGATAATGGGTAATCTCGTTTGTGCTTGATCAAACACATTTCGCTTGTCTCGTCAGAAGCTTTGAATATTAACTGAGTCGTTTTTCCTTTAGAGGATTAACGAGACTGATAAGTTTACTTTAACAAAACTAAAGTGATCCCTCCTGCACTTGCGAGTCGCGAACCCATATTCCTGAGCTGATATCTCTCGGTTTAATACAGTCAATTCCATTATAACTCACAACCGTGGCTGCAAGTATCAATAGTTATATTTCTTCCTTTCATTTAAGCGCCTCTAACTTTTAATCTGACTAATCAGGAAGCATTCAAAAATATTACCCAACTCTTACGTAACTACTTGAAGTAAAATATAGAGGACATTGCAAGAATGAATATCTGGCAAAAAAAAGTGTTTTCGGTACATCGCTTCATTGTTTACGAATGGAGCTGGTATAGGCTTTTTTTTTCGGGGAACATTATGCGTTCAGAAAAAAAAAACACAGGGTTGATGACTGAAATTTCTACCCCCAAATAGCCAATCTCGTTAGCAGCTCCAGAAATAGCTTTGTTTACGGTTACCGTTTGAATGAACGGGTCGAGGGAACGCAGCCTGTAATTTGTGTCCAATCAATTCCTTTGTGTGAGCTAACGACCGGGTATGACCGGGTAGCAATAAACGGCGAGTGATTTTGGGCAGACCTTTGTTGAAACAGGATGGAAGGCAGTAAAAATATAGGAACGTAAGTCGACCGAGAAGGCTTTGCTTTACAAGATAGTCTGCTGCGTCATTAGAGTTAATCCGTGTAAAAAGCAATTGCTCCAACTACCATAATTTACTTCTTCAGCTTTTCGTTCTTACTTTTTAGGGTAGGGGCTTCTTCTAGAGAGCGCCTATGTCTCTTATTGTAGACTGTGCCCCACGATTCGGCAACCAGTAAATATGACGTGAATCGCTATATCAGATTAAGGTTATTTTTTGATAAAGTACACTGCGTCCTGCTGCTCACAAGATGAAGACTCGCATTAAATGCTATGACAGACAAAACAAATTTCAGAGTCTGCTTGTCCGAAGCGTAGGCAGAGAAAAATCACTGCAATGAACGGTGTAAAAAAAAAAGGAAAAAAAAAACTATTTTGACTCTGATTTTTGGACTACTGGACCTTTTGGAAGAATTTGAAAATATTTCCACGCGGCAGTTCAACTGCATTGATGGAGATCGTTGAATATCCCAATCTAAAACAGTTGTCCAATCAAAGTGCAGCCGTTCTCCCGTTGACCAGTTGTTACTGTTTATTTTTACTTAACAGCATCGGTACTAATATAATACTGAGTAATAAAGGTTTAACTATGTTTGAAGTTTTGAATTGAGAAAGGTGTGTTATCAAAGCAATATTTTTCCAATCCCGGATTATCAATATAAACCAATCCTTGCTAAGTTAGGCATTGTAGGCATCATTTATGGGTAAATCCAGATTTCTTCTTCCCATAATTAGCTGAGAGTCTAGTAAAAATCAAATTAATAAGCTGGCCATGTTCCCTATTGATCATTAAAACCGGTTTCGTGTTTAAAAGGGTGGAACAGAATCGTGTGTAGAATCCTAGTAAAACGTAATGCATGGAATAAATGTGTTTTAGCTTAACACCTTCAGTAGGTTTGTTTTCGTTCGCAAATATGCAGTGCTTTATTTGGTATGCTCTGGTATGCTGTTAAATTGGTAACACCTCCTTTACAACTATATCTGTCTTCAGTTTGTTAAAAGCGCCTCCGTGTTTAACATCCACATTGCCTTACTAAATATTCTATCCGCAATTATGTTTGTAACATGTGTATGTTTTATGTAGCATGGTTTCTCGCCACAGGTGAAATCAGCAGAAAAAAATACAACCCACTGGAAATAAGTATAAATATATTGGGCTGCGTGTTCATGAAGAAAGAAAAAAGAAAGAAAGCTTGCGCGGTTTGAGTAATATAACTCCAATTTAGAATATATAAAGGTGTCTCAAGACTACACATCATGTTGTGCTGGCATCTACCTCTTTGGAGGCTAGCGAAAACTTCAGAACAAAAATGTGTGAATGATTCATCGAATTATATTTCTGTGCTTGATAACTGCATAACGCGGTTTTAGACAGTCTTTTAATACAGTTAACATAAGTGGAAACGTTGCAGGCAAATAATCCAGTTGGCACATATATTTTGAAACAGTGCTCGGCATATCGCTTGGATGCCGGACCGGTATATCTTCCTGTTCCATGCCACAAACACACACTCAGAATAGAAACGTGACATAGGGAGCAAGGAGAAAGGGGTGCCTGCCTGTATTCTGGCGAGGCAGCTGACGACCGTGAATTCGAGGAGTGCGGAGAAAACGAAGCCTGTGCAGGCGCCCATCCATACGTCAATGGCCTTGATGTAAGAGACCGGCGGAAGGTTGGACTGGATGCCCGACCCCTTCGAGGAGATTGTGAGCAGCGTGGTCACACCCAGGGTCGTCCGGGCGGGGATGGATTCCACGTCCAGCCAGAAGGAGACCCATGAGATGACCACGATGAGCACCGTCGGCAGGTACGACTGAACCATGTGGTACCCCAGGGATCGTTGCAGGTGGAAGTCCGCTTTGAGACAGCTGTATTCACCTGAGTGCGATAGAGTCAGTACTCAAACCTGATCGAACACAAACTCAAACTGAAACAACTCAAACTCAAACTCAAACTCAAACAGCTAAAACTCAAGCTCAAACTCGAAACACGGATAAGCTGGGTAAACTTTGCTATTTATCCTGGTGAGAGGTACCATAATATAAGAAAAACATTAGGTTAAAAAAAGCTTATATACCTAATTGGCACAAAATGTTCCCCCGGAAAATTAAACCTCTTCGGTCCCTTGACAACCCTAAATCTCTACAGATAATGTCGCCTAAGAATATGAAGTAGAAAATTAGAGTAGCCTAGATGGTTCGAATATGATTTATATTGAACACGAAATAAACAAAGAAAGGTTAGCACACAAAAACACATAAAATTGGTTTTAAAACCCACATTATATTTGTCCGAAATTGATGTACATTTTTTATGTTACCTCCTATTTACATTACTACATTTAATATCCCTAGTTTAACGCCACGTGAATCTCTAGCTTAAAAAAATACTTAAAGAAATATTCATTGGTGGATTCTTAGGCAGTGGTTTAGCATGACTCTTGGGAAACGTCACGCACGTCATTCTTTGGGTAACGCTGACGCTGACCCTTTCACTTTACTGCTTTGTCCTTCTGTTTCGGCTTTCTTTGTTCCTTCGTTAATTTTTGTCTGCCACTTTATGGCTTCGCTAGGAGGGCAGTGTTTGCGTTACCCGAAGTGGGACGTCTGTGACGATTTCCGAGGTTCACGCTAACGGATTCCTTAAGAATCCACCGATAGATCTTCCTTTTATTTTATTTTTTTCACCCTTTTTTATTTTGCATGTCGGTGTACGTCGAGGCCCTAGGATACGGTCCTCTACATGACTCATGGAGAGAAGTACATCGTGCAACTCGTGGAAGGCGGCCCATACGTATCACTTGTGGGGAGAACCGCATCTATCGTTTTACTACACACAGACATCACAGCACACGCACCGCTAGTGCGGAAATGCAGAGCGAACATCCGCCGACGCCAGAACGGCATATGAGCGCTCCAGCATTCCACCGCGCCGCGGTCCCTCCTGCTCTCTGGCTCCATCGCCGTGCATACATTAGGAGAGTTTGGCCAGTTAATGATCTTGCTGCCCAAACGCCCCCTTCCCGAGTGAGCCAATCAGACTGCTGCGCAGAGCGCGAGGCACGAGCGCATGCGCGTGAACTCCTGGCTTCTCCCAGCTGTGCCAGCAAGGCCGCTATTTTCATTCATTCGCCCGGTAGTTTGCATAGAATGAACATACAGATTGCGCTTCTCTACTTTTATTTTGCTGGCTCTAGCAAGAAACTTATACAGTGTTTTTCTTCGCTGGGTGAAAAAACTACCGAATGATGTGTTCGCAATGTTTGATCGGAAACTTTCATTTAGGTGAAAAGGAAGTCGGCCCGTAGCCGACGACGCGTAACTTCAACAGTGCTCGGCGCCAAAAGCGTGTTGCGTCAAAATGGCGGCCGTTTCCTCCTTTTCTACCTCCTTCCTCTCTCGCTTCTTCGGTGCTCTTTCTCCCTTTCCTTCACTCTTTCCATCTCCAGCGCCTTCGTCACCACGCCTACTGCAGACTCTCCCAATATGCTGCTCTGTCTGGCTCCACGGGAGCTGTGTGATGTTCTTTTGGCAAAAACGAAGACGCTCCTTTTGACGAAAAGCCGGTGGTCTCTGCCAGTTTGTCAGCACCATAAATAGAAGGAAAGGAAAAGGGTGAAGCGTGTTGACACCAGCGCTTTGGACCCATGGGAGTGTCGCACGCATCACTCTCTCCCTATCCTTCTCCGTCTCTCCCCGCCCCGAAATACTGACAGACACCGCCAGGCTTTTGCCGAAACGAGAGCTTTGATATTAACCCATTAAAAAGTGCACAAGTGACAATGCGTTTGTGGAAAGTTTTTTTTGAAAGTATAAAATGCTTTTTAAAGAAAACTTCCAAACGTCATAGGCTGTGTACGTTTGCCCGTCAATACATGTTTCGCCAACTTCAGCAGGACAATGGACGTCACATGACCTTGCGTCACGTGAACTATACACACAGTGGGGAAGTTAGCGTGACGTGAACCAAGCGCCAATTGCGTTTGCACGCCTAATTTAGCCCGGAAATTCACGTCTTGCGCCCCCCTCCCCCCAAACTAACGATGACTTTTCGGCTCCTGGCTATAACTCAAACGTTAGTATTTCCTCTTACCAAGTTTTCTTTCTCTCTAACTGAGCTGAAGACCAATTCAGTTTCCCCGCTAAATTTTGGGAAGAATTGACCTCCTGTGACCTTGACACCTCTTTAGCTTACCAGTTAAATATGGCGAAGAAATTTACCTCCTCTGACCTAAACACCAATTCGGTTTCCCCGCTATACATTCACCGAAGAAATTGACGTCAAGTAACCTAAATTATCTCTACAATTTTTACTGTGAAGATGCTTATGGCTAGAGTTCCGTAAATTTTTCATGTGCGTGACCAAAAACTCTACGCTCGCACCGCCACATGCTTCGCATGCGCACGCCTTCTCCTTACAAAAATTGGAAGTAAATAACCAAAATAAAGCGTTGACGAGCGTGCTTGCAAGATGCTTTTTGTTTTCGGATTTTGCTTTACAAGAGTTACTGCTGCCGACGCCGGCACGTGGGGCTCGTGAAACACCACCCTTGCGTTCTCCTTGGTGCTGGGGTAATTTAGCAAAATGTCTATACAGTAGATTAGCTATCAATAGGCACCATTTTCAAGATTAATAGACACATAGGTAGATAATAAATGTTTGTCAAGGATTTGCCGCTGTGCGACCTGCGGCGGACGTGTCTACGCTCGTACCGCCCTCTCTGCTTCGTCGGTTTAAGCGCTTGCGTGCCTAGTTTCCTCTCTTTACGCTCTTCCGGGGTGGTGGTCCTGCCTCGCGTGTCTAGTTTCTTACGGCTACTCGGGGCGGGTCTGTGTCGTGTGCTAACAGCTTCGCTGGTCATCCACCATCACAAAGAGCAAGGCTCTAGGTTTGTTTCCTAAATTGAGCGGGGCAAATCAACATTGCGTGACCAATGTAATAATTTATTTTAACAGCTAAAATAAGCGGGTAAATTTATGCGAATGACACAAAAATACTGTTTCCCCATCCTTCTCTTCTCCCTAACCTCTCCCTCACTCACCCGATCGGTCTTTTCACACTCTCCATCCCCCGTCTTCCCCGTCTGACACCCTCTCCCCATCTGCCTCCATTTTCTTCCTCATGCAGCTATACCGTGCTATAAAGAATGAAGAATGTCACCGGACGCACGAGCAGTCTAACTCCAGAACCTCTTCAGCTGCACATGCTTTCATACGAGGCGGCTATGTATATTTCTAAATTGTAAAAGTAAATTGGCACTGTACGGTAACGCACCTCTACATATCGGCGACTGAGAACCAAGCAACACCTAGAAAAGTTCATGTTACTCCAAAAAGTGGCTAAACACAGTCACTCTTTACGAGCTCAAAAAGTAGCTAAATGCATTACTCGTTACGTACAAAAATATTTACTTACTTTTCTCGTTATTTTTATGACTAAATACATAATTCTTTATGTTACATAGATTATTGTGTTTTTTGTTTAATTGTCGTTGCACAAGCTTCGACTCTAAGTTTACGTTAGTTATATTTCCCCACTTTGTGGAGAAACCATCTCCGGCGACGCCGAAGAATCGTTCTACTGATGCGCTTGAAGGAATGGCAGTGTTGTGCTTCAGAAAGAGCTGGTGAATCGGTGAATCCCTTCACTCGTTTCCTCTCTGTGCTTCTAAAGTTTGAAGCTGACCGTGGGTTCTGTGCCTTCCGTGTTGGGAACTTCGGATTTTTATTAAAGTGTGCTCACGATTCTAGACGGCTCATTTAAGGAACCTTATTGTGTTCTCTGGGTGAAGGACATTCCCAGCGCGAGAGCTCTCGAGGGGTGTAATCTGGACACTTGGCAAAAAAGTCGGCGAGGATTTCGGCGGTTACTATTAGCCGAGGCCGCGCATATCCTTGCGCCCGCCATTCACGCCAGTCAAGTTCCTCGCCGCTTTCTTGGCCTAATGTCTATATTAGATCCCCTGGCTTGACTGACTGGTGGATTGGCCTCCTTTGCTGAAACTTTGAACAAACTGTGGCGCCTTAATTTTGGGAAGCGCAAACTCATATTACTAGGCCTCGCACTACTATTGGCACCTTCGCTAAGCTTTTATATTTCTGTGTATCGCTAAAGTACGGGAAAACACTTTTCGACCTCCGAAATCGGCAAGATTCAACGCGGCAAAACAATTGAAATTGCCAGATGCATGCCTCCACCGCTAGGGTACGCGATCCTTATCTATGCGTGGTGATGTCAAAACATCTGTTTTCTCAAGGCGTTCTGTATTTTTTGTTTTTTACATTTTACAAGAAATCACGTATCTAGGTTTAGCTCCTAACGTCTTAGCTTTTACTTGTGATTCAACAACATCGATGATATTTAATTATTTTTTTTTGCGTTTGCATTTCTGTTAGAGCAGGCAAGCTTTTGCATATGTGACCGTTTGAGGCGCTTAGGTTTGTAATACCCAAAACAACTTCTAACAAGCCCTTTTTTGCAGCGTCCCCAGGGAAACGAAGGAGGCCTACAGCCACAAAGCTAGCTACATTTGTCTCCACTGCAAAGTTTCAACGCGTTAGAGCGCGAACGCCAAACGCCGGACGCAGTAGTTCCACGTGTTAACGCATTTTACAAGTACATTGGATTAAAGGCAGTTTTTGTCCCCACTCCACAGTTCGGACAAGCTCGAACGCGAACGCCAAACGACGAACGCGAGCGTTCTGCGTTCTAACGCGTTCGGCAAGTGCAATGTGAACGATCCAAGATTCACTGCAGAATCCTTACACGATACGGCGACGTTCAAAACATAGGTGCCCGCTTTTCTTACATCAGTGTTGACCTCATAGGACCACTTCCTCCCTCACATGAATGCCCCTATATTTCTACTACAGTACACA